AACAAATATGAAGAATATCGATGTATTAACTATGGAGAAAATTGCAGAGTGAGGGCATGCAAGAAGGAGAACAGAAACTTTTGGCAGATTACAAAATATGGGGGGGCTACACATGCCTGAATACATTGTTAACTCAAGACCATCCAAAGTTGGATTTTGATGTGATCATCTTGTATTGTGGCAATGGTAACTGACAAGCTAGATGTGAAAGTATTTCAAATTATTGAAAGGATGCAATCCATGTTTAGTTATACTGTGTCATATAAGAAAGCAGGGAAGGTAAAACAATTAGTAGCTGCCATTACTTTTGGGAATTGGGAGACCTCATATTCCTTACTCACAAGGTGGTTAGTTGCAGTTCAACATTTTATGCCTGGGTCATGCGTACAATTTTCAAATAAACGATATTCTCAAGTCGATGTAAATGGTCAACTAGTTGAAATGTTCTGTCGTGTATTTTGGGCATTCAAGCCATATATGGATGCATTTCCGTACCTAAAGCCCATTGTATAAGTTGATGGAACATTTTTGTATGGAAAATATAAAGGTACATTACTTATGGCCATATCACAAGATGGTGATCGAAATGTTGTACCACTTGCATTTGTTGTAGTTGAAGGAGAGACAAGATCTGTGTGGGAGTGGTTCTTGTACCTTGTGTGTCAGTGTGTGGTAAAAGATAGAGCAAGAATTTGCTTAATTCCAGATAGACATCATTCAATTATAGCTACTGTTGCTAATCTCTAAGTTGGATGGCAATCACCACATGCATATCACGTTTTTTGCCTCCGGCACGTGGCTTCAAATCTTCACAAAGCACATGGAACAAATTAGTTGAAAGAGACGTTTATAAATATTGTTGAGACTATTGTGCTTTTTATGATATTATAACTATGTGATTTTATAATCATTTCTAATAAGCTGATATTTATTCATAGGTTATGCCTATGAAAGTCATGTTGTTGACCAACAATTAGCAGAAATAGTATTACCTCATGCACCTATAGCTAGATGGATTGGAGCCATCCTAAAAGAAAAATGATCACGTGCACATGAGCTTGAAGGTCGACGCTTCGGACACATGACGACCAACCTTGCAGAGTGCATGAATAGTGTATTCAAAGGGGTTTGAAGTCTGCCGACAACGGGTTTAGTCAAGGCGACTATGTATAGAGTGAATAACTATTTTGTGAAACGAGGCCAACAAGTTCATGCGCAAATTTCAACTGGTCAAGTGTTTTCTAAGACATTAACAAAGAAGTTGGATATAGTAACACAATCTGCATCTGCATGTGTTGTTCGGGAGTTCAATAGAATATCAACATCATTTGAGGTTGTTGAGCCATTTAATGTTCAATGTCGTCAATTTCATCGTTATTGCAAGGTTAACTTGATTGACAGAAAATGTGATTGTGGAGAGTTTCAAGTATAAAAATATCCACGCATGCATGCCATTGCTACTTGTATAAGAGTAGGCATTGACCATTTACAATATGTGGATCCTATTTTTAATTTGGAAACCATGCAAATGGCATATAATAATGAGTTCCCACCAATAGGAGATGAGATTTACTGGCCACAAATTGATTGTCCTACACTAATACTTGACCCATCAATGATTCGAAAAAAAGGTCGTCCTTGTTCAAGTCGCATACATAATGAGATGGATTGGACCACACCCGATGCACCTAACAAATGAGTATTATGTAGACAAATTGGTCATAATCGCTCTACTTATCCACAAAGATTGGCATATAAACAATGACAATGAATTATGTATTTCACTTTTTAAAAAAAATTATAATTCATAAATAAGATGAAATTGCAATTAGTTTCTTTATTTTTATATTATGTGGATATTTTTTCTTCAACTTATGCAGACACATTTGAAAATGGCGCAATCTTCAGAAGAGGTCATCAACCCTGGTCCAGAGGATAACTCTCTTTTATACTTGCAACCTCGACATATTTCACAACAAGTGTGAAATGATAATGTAAGTAACATCTATTGATTATATATTATAAATTATATGCTTTGATACTAACTTTTTTACCTTTTCATTGTAGGTTTCTAGAATCCTACACACTAAACGAGTCATGCATGATAATCAAATAATTGAGCCGCCCAACCAAATAATTGAATCTTAGATTAGCCGGATTCTATGGCATTGCTCGAATGGGACAATTTGATTATGATCGAAGTTTGGTCTCAACACTTGTTAAGAGGTGGCATCCTAAGACTCACATCTTTCACGCTACACGTGAAGAGTGCACGATAACGTTAGAGGATGTAGCTATACAATTGGGCCTTCTATGTGTGGGATTTCCTATCATTGGGAGAACTGATTTTAATTAGCTAGATGTTTGTGAATGGCTTCTAGGTATTAGACCACTAGTATATAGAATGAAGGGGCAGCGGCTACTTATCAGCTAGTTGGAGGAGCATTTTAATCACCTAGCGGATGATGCAAATGATGTACAAATTCAACAATTTACTCTGGCATACATCCTTAGGTTGATTGGCGGATATCTCATGCCAGATAGATTGAGCACCAGAGTATATTTAATGTACCTTCCACGACTTTATAATCTTGAAGAAGTTGGAAAATTTAGTTGGGGATCAGTAGTTTTGGCTCACTTGTACAGAGAATTATGTAATGCTACTAATCTAATTGAGGATGGGATTAGGGGATGTTTATAATTACTACATTTATGGGTATGGGATCGCTTCCCAATGCTAGCACCGCACAACCTGTATCTCCAGATCCACATTCTGATATGTACCCTGTCTTACCTCCCTTGGGTTTTAGGTATGCTAAATTCTCCCAACTAATATTTTTTGATATACACTTATTATTAAAATTATACAACATTTTAACATTATTTTTTGTGATCATAATAGGTGAAAAAATATTGGACAAAGTCCTCGTCCAATTGCTATGCCTTTACTCCAATATAGGAGTTTTCTTGATAGAATAATTGATGAAGAGATAATTTGACAGCCATATGAATCCCCTAAAGCGCGCCAATTGATTCCAGAGTATTGCTTAGCAACACCTGAAATTTGGCTTGCTTCAGTTCCTCTACTATATTTTCATATTATAGAATAGCATCACCCTGACCGTGTATTAAGGCAATTTGGTCATCAACAACCAATTCCTGCCCCACCTATTCATTTAGGAAATTATCATACAATACAACTACGAGGTAGGACAACTACAAATTGGGCTGAACAATACTCAAACTTCATTCAAGCATGGGATAGATGGCCACATGCTATTGTTCACACTCCTGTTATGCTTGATGAATTTGATCAGACATCTGAATACGTGCAATGGTATTGGAGACATACAAGACAATGAATCCAACGTATTAGTGGTGATACTGGCTATGTGGTAAGTTTTTCACCTTCTTCCCACCAATATCATCTTTTTCTTTTATACAACAAGTGTTACACAAAAATGTCTTATTTAATTATTTATTGTGTTACAAAAAAATGTCTTATTTATTTCAGGCTGACATAGCAGAAGAGTTATATAGGCTAGCGATTGGTTCTCATTCAATATGCTCTAACTGCACCGATTTTTGAGAAAGAGTTGCTCGGGACCAACGCAATATTTGCTTGTAATGAAAGAACAATGACTGAACATGAACCCTCAGCGTGCTCCACCAACAGTTGATTTGCCTCACCCACAAATTCCTCGAGAAAGACCTAGCACGCGACATGGCGGCTACTTGTCTACCCAGCCACCAATTCAAAATCAAAATGTTGAGGGACAAGAGCCTCAAGTTTTTAGTTAGTCGCATTATATGCCAGCTTCATCGTCATCCCCTATCACCTCTCATAATACTCCTCAAGTTGAGCCTCATTACATGTCACCTTCATTGACATCATCGCATTCTGACTCACCATATCCTACTCAATTTTAGTCGTTCATGTCATTATTTGATGATCTGGTACTATTTTTAGCTGAATACAACGCTTCTTCTACTTTTGACCAAGGCGGTCCATCAAACGAAGCATTTGCCATCTCTCGGCAATCAATTTCTTTAGTTGAATCACCTTGGTTTGATTTAAACACATCAACTATACAAATAAATGAGACACTTAAATCTCAAGAAGAAGTAACCACACAACAACGACCATAACGTGTGAGAAGAAGAACAAGATGTGGCAACAGAAATAACTATTTGTTAAGCAAATCTATTTTTATTTTTTTATTAATCATTTTCCATTTAATATACCATACTAATTTCATAATCATTACTATGTAATCATTAACACTTTCCTCTAATTATTTTTGCATAAATTTTAGTCTAAATGATTACAAAATTATTATCTAATTATTTTTATGTGTTAGGTGGGGAAAGAAGAGACGAAGGACGTTAAATATGGGATAATGAAGTTGTTTTTGGAGTAGTGAACTTCTAAAGTTGTTCGCTCCAAAGTAAACTTTCATTGCACTTAAATCAAAACAGCAAATATTAAAGAAGTCACATCTACCAAGATCAATTTTAAAAGTTGTTCACGACAAGAACAACTTTGAATATAGCATTTGAGAAAATACTTTCCGTCGTGTAGCATTTTGGTATTTTCTTTCTACTGTTTATAGTATCCAGGTAAAAAAACCGATATTTGTGTTTTTTTCTCTCTTAATTAAATCTTTAATTTTACTCCATTAACATTATTAATCTTTGTATAAAGACTAAAATTACTAATAGAACAAAGTTATAAAAACTACTATTGGTAAAAAAGTAAAATTAAATGATTTAATTAATAAAAAATACACATAAATACAAAATTAAAAATTAAGGAAAAATGTATGTATTTCTAATATGATTTTCCCAACACTTTATCTTCATTTCACTTTCGATATTTCATTGCTAAAACGCATATTCACATCACACGCCTATAAGGCCAAACTACCTCCTTACTGTTTAAGATTCTCATCAGTCCCGTAACAAAAAGTTTGACGACTATGTGAATAAAATCAAAAGTATCAAGAAATCATAAATACAAGTGGTTGTTCTTGCTTCCCAGAGCCTGATTTCAGACGTTCCGCTAATTTTTTGAACCTCGGGAGCATATACGCTCTTGGAGCAGCACAAATGTAGACAGTCCTCAAAACGCCAGCATGCTTTATCATGAAGTTCACAATTTCTAACTCGCTCTCAGTTTCAGAACCCTCGAAGCTGAGAAGAGTGAATTCTTTCAGATGATGTAATGAAACACATGAAGGCACATCAAGTATTGGTTGAGGAGGGGACGCAGAACGAAGCTGGCACAATACAGAAATTCAAGTTAAAAACATACAAATCGAGGCATTGCACTTGAAAAAAAAAATTAAGGTTTAAATCTTCAAACCTCGTAAATTTCAAGCTTTTGAAGTTTGGGGAAGTTTTCAAGGCAATTCACCATCCTAGTCCACTCTTCAGCATGACATTCCAGGTGGATTAAATTGTGAAACATTGGGATATCTTCATTAAACGGCCATTTAACCTGCTTTAAATACTAAAACAGACAGAAAATTAGGAATTGAAATCTTAAGGGGAGGTTGAGAAAAATTTACTTATCATTCAAGATTCATACCCGAGGTCGATATAAGCGTAGAAATGTGACATTAGAAATAACTTTCAATGGAAGCAGAGATTGTGGAACTTCTGCACTGACCAGATGGTTAAGCCTTCCAATGTCAAGTGTAGGGCAATCGCCCACAAGCGAAATTTTTAGTACCAATTCTTTAAGCAAAGCACATGCAGAAAGAACCATTCCCAAGCTTCCAAAATCTGGAAATTTAACGTTCTCCATATACAATACTTCAAGCGAAGGCAAATTAACATGAGAAAGAGCGCCCAGAGTTACTCCATTGCGCCCCCTATACACAGTCGTTGCTCCGCTACATTTCAAAACCTTAATGTAATTCGAAGTGAAAACAATAGAGGGCAACTCATAGGAACCCTTCTGCAAGTTCAAACGTAACTCCAAGTCTTCAACTTTATTATTAATCACAGCATCAATCCACTTGCTAATCATCCGAGGTCTAAAATACTCACGAGGTTCATAATGATCACACCGAAAAACAAACTTTTTGACAGATTTCAAATCTACCAATTTCAGCACTTTGTCTACGAATCGATGGAAAAATGAAAGACTCTTGAAGTTTCCACGGTTAAAGTCAAGAGTGGGAAGGGAAAGCCAAAGCGACCTCCACCTCTTTGACAAGAGATTTGTGGTAACTGCTCGTTTAGTGGGAAGAAAAGAGAGAATATGAAGGAGCAACGAGTCTGGCAAACCACTGATCCTGTCCCTTATTTTGACTTTTGTTCTGCACTTCTTGTTGGTGGACGACATACCGAGGATGAATAAGAAGGGAGAGACGAGCAAAACGAAAGAGAAAAAAGAAGGACGAAAACTGAGGAACAAAGGGGAAGGAACAGAAAAGAAAAAGAAATGAGATAGAACGGTAAAGAAAACAATTTTTTATGCTAATCAGATGAGCATAAAGAAGAACATGGTATCTAAACCACCGGGTCAAAGTACTTGGAGAGACATCTGAAGCAGGTAGAGAAAATGATGAATGATTCTGATTGATATGGATGCCTGAAGGCATAATTAATAATTTAGAAGTTCGAAAAGGGAGCCCTTTACGTTTTCGGAGTCTTTAGGGCGGTGGTGAATTGTGATCTCGTTTTTTAATGATCTGGTGGTAGTCGTAGCTAAGTTATGATAATTGTGACTCTTGATGTGACATTTTGAAGAGGTCCCGAAAATTTGAGAAAATTTCATTAAATAAAATATATTTTAGAAACCATTTTCAAATATTATAAAAAAATTAAAATTTGTATTACTCCTTTCTGTTTAAAATATAAGGTAAATTTTATCTATTTATATTTATTAAAAAAATTAGTTAAAATCATTTTAAAATAATAAATATGTAAGGTATATATATTTTTCAAAATATGCCCTTATTAATAAAAAAATAAGTAACAGATGTAATAAATAATTTAAAGAAAAAAAATATGAAGATAAAATTAAAAAACTCATTAAATATTTAGATAAAAATAAATATTATCTTATAAGAAAAACCAAGCCTCTCCAATAAACTTGAGCTTATATTTTAATCGGGAGGAATATATAAGAGGGTAAAGGAGATAAGAAAATGACCTTCCTCTGGCACTTAATTACACCGAAATCGAAATGCGCATTACAAAACAATACTACAGTTTAAAGAATGTCATGATTCATTGAACGTTGCCTCTTGGGACGAGGTATACGTCTTTTGAAACAAACGAAAAATAATTCAACATTGCATTTATGATCACGCAATAGATTTTTTTTTTTGGCCAGCGATCACGCAATAGAATTTAAAATTACCCCGAATAGTCTTTTCAGAGCTTGCTTAGATAAGATAAGGATTTAATGAATTGTAGGGCCTTCTACAAATGTTAATGTCTAAATGAGGAACAGTGAGGAGAACGCTTGATGGTTATCCCAAAAAAATAGAAGAGAACACTAGATGATAGGACGAAGGCTTGCGAAGGCTGTTGGAAAGAATCCTACTCCTTTTTTGCCCCTCGTAATCTTATATCTAATGGTTCATATTTAATATTTTAAAAATATTATATATTATTATATTTTTAAAATATTCAATATATTGTATTTTTAAAATATTAAATATGAGACATGTTTTTTGGTCTAATTGTGGAGATGAAATTCTAAGAAGAAAATAAAATAGATAGATTCTGAGAGGATTCAAAAGTTTGAGGTAAATGGCTCAGTGTTGCAAGGCGGAAAGAACGGTGGCCGTGTGATTGGGGATGAGGCTAACAAATGATCATTGATTTTAGCTGCAGACTTAGAAGTTAGAACCGTTTGAAATCACACACACACACACATATATATACAGCTTTACAATCATAATTTATAAAATAAGAGATAGGCACGTGAAAAAATTTGTCTCAACTTACATACAATAGTCTCATAAGTGCTGTCAAACAAACACTTACTAATATGCCATCTGCCATCACAGGTATCATCTATGGCTTTAACATTTGCCGGAATAGAGGTTTGATAAAAAAAAAAAAATAGCCATATTTTTTTATTGTTGGGAGGCTATCAACGTGATTATCAGGGATGTGATGGCTATCATCCATTCAAGAGACATTGTTGAGAAGGCTAAATTTTGTGTTCACAGGGATTGTCAAGTTATGTTCTATCAGGTGTATAAAGATAATGAGAGCCGCATAGTTGATTACTTTGCTGATTGAGCGCATAGTTTAAACTATTCTTTTTGGATCCTTCATTAACCCTCTCCTCTTTATCAAGAGGCAGAAGGTGACGAGGGAAATTGAGGCTCTTGTGCCTTTTATAATATTTTGTTGAGGTTTAACGATATGCAGTATTATATTAAAAAAATTAAAATTGGAATTTCTTCCATGATAATAGTAATATATGCTATATAAATCTAATTCATTTTTTATAATAATATAAAAAGAAATAGGAAAACTCGTTTCTAGTTTATAACCAAAAACAGCTAACGAGGACTCGTATAATTCTGAGGAGTTTTTACTTCTATTTCCTTCTCACTTGCAGCGTAAACCTACTCTATATGGATGCTCCAAGTAAATATAAAATTTAGGAAATTTTGGTCTTGTTTGTTTTTGTTTTCCGTTTGTGTTTTTAGAAAAAACACATTTACCACAGATAATTAAGCAAGCAACCATTCAAGATTATTGCTTCTATACAGCCAAATTATAACCCCCTATCGCTTGATATCCTCCAAAACAAACATGTGCTTCGAGATTATTGTTCCTGCCGTATGTGACACCACCGAGGCGTTCTAGTTCCACAGAAACAAAAAATACAATTACTATTAAATAAAAATATTATTATTAATATAAAGATAAACTACAAAAAAGAACAGAACCTAGCAGCATCAAATCATCATCAAATTAAAGTTTTACAAAAGGGATGTGAATTTGAGTTGATTTCCTTAGTTCACTCTGAAATGGATTCTCACCAAACTTGTCATGAAATGTCCTCGCATTTTCCTTCCTGATCTTCCATTACATATATAGAAGTGATTAGTTTCGGCACCTGTTACCCATAACAAAAAAGCTGAGGAATATGCAAATCAAGTAATCAAGAAAACATAAATACAAGTGGCTGCTCGTGCATCCCACTGTAACTCTCAGAGCCTGATCTGAGGGATGCTGCTAATTTTTGCAACTTTCGCAGCTTATCCTCGCTTCGATAAAAACTTTCACAGACGTAGATAGTCCTCAAAACTCTAGCATTCTTCAACATAAATCTTATCATTTCAGACTCACTTTCAGAACCGCGGAAGCCACTAAGCGTGAACTGCTTCAAATGTAATGAAACACATGGCGGCACATCAAGTATTGGTTCAGGTGAGGATGAAGAACCAAGCTGAGACAATACAGAAATTTAAGTTAAAAACCTACTAATCAAGGCGTGTTGCGCTAAAAATTAAAAAAGTTATAATCTTCTAACCTCATGAATTAAAAGCTTTTGAATTTTGGGGAAGTGTTCAAGACAGTTTACCATCTCAGTCCACTCATCAGCAACACATTCCAGATGGGTTAAATTGCAAAACATTGGAATATCATCACTGAATGGCCACATATCCTGCTCTGGATACTAAAACAGACTGAAAATTAGGGAATGAAATCTCAAATCTTACGGGACCCAAAAAAACACAGGAAAAAGAAAAGAAAAGAAACAAGTTACTCATCATGCGTGATTCATACATGACATAAGCGCAGGCATTTAACATTAGAAAAAGCTTCCAGTGGAATTAGAGATTGTGGAACCTCTGCAGTCTCTAAATGGTTTAGTCTTCCGATGTTGAGTCGATGATAACCCACTACATCATCAGAAAATTTTATCACCAATTCCTTAAGGAAAGGACAAGCTGTAAGAACCATTTCCAAACTTGTAATATCTGGAATTTCGACATCCTCCAAATGGAATGCTTCAAGAAAAGGCAGATCAACATGGGAAAGAGTATTCACCGTTACTCCACTCAACTTCAAAACCCTAAGGTTATTGGCTATAAAAACACTAGAAGGCAACTCATACACAGCTTCCCCACTCAGATACAGCTCCAGATGTTCAACTTTGCTAGTGATCACAGTATTAATCCACTTGCTCGTCTTTCGAGGAGGTTTATAACAACGAAAATCTAGAACAAATTTTTTAACGGATTTCAAATCCACCGAGTTGAGCATTTTGTCTACAACTTGGACAGAGAGTTTAATATTCCGAAAGCTCGTGAGTTCAAAGTGAAGAGTGGGAAGGAAAAGCCAGAGTGGTCTCCACCTCTTAGACAAGAGGCTTGTGGCTACTGCTTTTTTAAGGGGAAGAAAAGAAAGAATATGAAGAAGCAATGAGTCTGGCAAATCACTGACCCTATCTACTTGTGTTCTGCGCTTTTTGTTTGTGGACATCGATTTCTCCATATCCTTTTGCTCAGGCTTTCAGAGATCCTTTTCTTATCAACTGTGGCAGCGAAGGTTGAAACAGGCGCTGCAATTTTATCTTAACAAGAAAACTGAAGAAGAAGGAGACGAAGAAGAATATTGACAAAGAAAAAGAAAAATGAAGACTGAAGAACAAAGATAAAAGAAACAGTGACAAGAAGAAACGAGATCAGAATGACGAGAAGAGGATTATTTGCACCAGTCAAAGCAGGATAAAAATGAGATCTTTCATCTTCCCGCTACAGAGAGAAAATGGCGAATGACCGGCTCTACAGAACCCTGCAGAAATGCTCAGTGAGTTTCAAAAATGGAGAGTTTTTCAAGTGCAGGCTGGACTCTATTAAAAGAAATTAATCAACTATTAATATATTATTATATCCTACAACTCATTTTTTTCTTATAAAATGTTTATATTACTTTATTAATAGTAGTTATTTCTTTTCTAAAATTTCATTTTTATCTCCTTCATTTTTAAGCACTTTAAACTTTCCTTAATTTAATATTTAATATTATTATAAATTTAAAATGTATATTTTTATTTTATGTTATTAAATTTTAGGTTTTATATTTTAAATAATTATTATAAAGCTAAAAATATTAATTTGATTAATATCTTGAAATAAAGGGAATGGGAAGCGGAGAGAAACATCTCCCCCTCTAACCATTGTCTGACTATTAATTCATTAAAATAGTCACTATAATCATGGAATTGAACGAATTGTTGAAGTTAGGCCAGAAAAAAAAGGAACGAATTGTGGAAAATAAACAAGATCTCCTGCCCAAAAAAGAAAATTAAAAAAAATTCAGATAAAATTTATCATTACTCACTTTATCAAAATTATATTTTTCACGAAATTTATTTTTTAAAAATATATTTTTAAAATAATTTTTCTCATAAATTATTTTTTAAATTATAGTTTAATTTTATCTAAACACTCCTTAAATGCTAATCGTGACTATTGATATGACTTAAATTAATGCTGGTCCAGAAATTAATGATTTTGAAGATGAAATTGTGCCATCTTTATCGGGCTCTGCCTAATGTGTGCTAATAATAACAGCACTATTTAATAAAGAACATGTTTCGATTCATTTTTTCTCCTGACTATATGTTTCGATTCATTGAACATTATTTGGCCAAAAAAAAAAAAAGATTCATTGAACATTAAACGTTTGGGATGAAGTATATAAATTCAAATAAAATAAAATAAAAACAGAGAGAAGTTGTAAATATGATCTGGGGGAAGTTCCACTAATCAAGACTTACTGATTAAGATTGCTTACCGACTAAGATTTGGGTTGTACAATTTCTCATATAAATGCAGATCGTAAATATCTACACGATCAACAAAAACAAATACTCATCTGATTTTTGATATAAGATTTAATTATAGAGTTATTTTTAATCTTAAATATAAGATCTATTTTTTACATTTATCAATTTTTTCCAAACCACTCTTATTAATACTCAACCATAATTTTAAGGTAGATTATTTGGATATTTTAGTAAAAACATGTCATATTTATCATTATAATTAACTAATTTATCTAATTTTTATCTAATTAAATTAGTTAAATAAGTTTTATGTTAAGGACTAGAGGAGTAATAATTATAGTTCTTTCTAGATCTAAAAAATAATATTGAGAATACTGAAAAAAAAAAAATAATTCGAACACGCTGAAGATGCCGCGCAATTTATTATTTTTATAATTAAAAATACTTTCTAATTACCCTTTTCAATTCATAATATAAATTACTTTCAACCGCCTTTAAAACCAGGAAAAATCGCCAACTCATTAATTTTTTTCTTAAACGAAAATAATTTTTTTTACTTTATTCCTATTAAATAATGTGTATTATTTGTCACTCCTTCCATCTCTTATTATATGATTCAAATAACCGAATTATATGGTTTAAAAAAACTATTAAAATTAGTTAAAGGTAATAAATATGCTGAAATTTTTTTTTATACATACCCTTATTTATAAGTGGATAAACGAGATAATAATTGGAAAAAAAAACAACAAAAGAGATATAGAGAAAACTAATTAGGAGTTAAATTAGTAAAAATGCATTAAACATTTAGACAATCTTAAAGTGAATCATATCATATAAAAAGGAATGTACAACTCTTGTTCTTAATGTAAGTTACTTGTAATACATCTTTATATACCAAGAAATACATTAAATTGATAAAAAAATTAATTTTACCCTTATTAAAGTTCTCTCTCTACACTTATAAATCATTCTCATATCTCTTCCTTCTTTTTCTCTTTCTAATGAAGATTAAATAAGAGTACAATTGAAAACAAGTATAAATACACCATAAGTGACTTATATTTAAGATCAAAATATTTTCTTACAAGTGACTTATATTTAAAATGAGAGTGGCACAGAACATCTCTCACCCCTCACTGCAACTAAAGAACTGGTAAAATTGACAAGTTAATGTTAATTAGTTTCCAAGTAATTTTATATTGTGAATCAAAGAATCCTTTTATAAGCCATTTATATTGTGGACTGAAAAGAGTGCTCCCCACAGGTCATCATTAAAATTAGTTAAAAATAATAAATATATTAAAAAATTACCCAAAAAAATACTTATTTTCTAACACCATGCATCCTTATTTATGGAGGTGGACAGAAAATGAATGCCAGATAGATTGCGAAAAAGTGAAAAAAGATATGAAAAAATATGAGTGGGAGAAGAAATGAGAGAGATATAATTATAACTAAAAATAGAAAAGGTGTATTAAAATTTTAAAATAACTAATTTTAGAAATGATGCGAGAAGTTTCCAAAGAGGGTCTTATAGGACTGATACATGGGACTGGTTTTTTCTTATCTACAATAAGCTTCTTAAACCAAAGCCCAACAGTATGGAGATGCAGAGTTTTCACCCGTTCAACGAGGCTGAATTGCGCTTGATTACTTCTTGCACGGTTCTTTGTATGTTTTGTGTTTGAAGTGGAGTGATGATCAAGCTTGTAGATTTTTGGTCTTCGTCTTGGATAACTTGTGTTGGTTGTTTTTTATTTGGAAAAATCCCCAAAAAAAATACATCTTAGATTTTAAAATTCCAAATCAGTATTATTTACTATATCTTAATGGCAGTTAACTATACTTAAAAAACAAATGACAATATATTTTTGCAATAATTCTTGGTTTGGGATTTAAAAATTCAAGAGGTTTTTGTTTTTTTTTGCTGAGATTTTCTCTTTTTACCTTTTATGAGTTTTCATTTAGTATCTGTCTATATGCTGTTCTTCTCTGTTTTTTCTTTGTGTGGATTGAGTCTTGTAGGATATGTTGGGTTTATTTTTTGATGTGTCCAGATTCAATTTGTGTGAATCGTTTTACTTTAATGGAATAAACAGGCTTCTTAATAAAATGGGGGCTGTAATGTTTTTTTTTAAAACCCATTTTGTAGTTCTATTACCATTTTTTTAAATCATGTAACGCCTCTCATTGATATAAACATATGGAAGACTCCGAAAGTCTTTACATTTAAAGCGAACGGGGAGGTGAAAGCAAGAGTGGCCTCCACCATCTTCTACTTCTTCCTTTTTAACTATAAAAAAGGCTATCATGCGTGGAGCAAAACAGCAAAACACCATTAAGATAAGCCACGCGAAAAGAGAGAACTTTTGGTCTGAAGAAAAAAAAACATTTAAAACAAGAACAAAAAATATTTATTCAAAAAGATCATAAAAATTATAATTAGTTAGAAGGACAATTACCTAATTAATGACAAAAAAGAGTTATAATTTAGTTTGGTTTTCCAGACCTACTTTTATTCTTTTTCGTGTTTTTCATAATACATAGCCAAAAACAAAAAAGATTTTAAAAAAAAATTGAAAATAAGGTTAATATAATCTTATATCTTTTAAATTTATCCTCATTTTGGTTTTAGTTTTTTAAATTTTAAATCATAAACTTTGATTCCTCAAAAAGTAAAACGATTCAAATTTTTATTAAATTATAAAGACTAATATTTTAAATGACAAAAAACTTGAAGAACCAAGACTTATAGTTTGAAAGTTAAAGGATCAAAATCAAAATAAACTTAAAAGACCAAAATTTGTATTAACCCTTAAAAATATGAATTCAAACGTGCCTATATTCATTTCAGGACCCAAAAAAAAAACCTTCTCACAAATTTACAAACGTAGAACAACAGTAGAAGTGCAGAACGCATAATAAAAAAATTAATATGTAAATAAAGTATCATCAAGAGATCATAAATACAAGCGGTTGCTCATGCATTCGCCTGCAACTCTCAAAGTCTGATCTGATGTATGCTGCTAATTTCTGGAAATTTAGGAGCTTATCCTCACTTATACCATCTCTCACAAATTAAATCACAATGGTAAGAGTCCTCAAAACCCTAGCATTCTCCCTCGTAAATTTTACCATTTCAAACTTACTTTCAGGACTTCGGCCATTAACAAAGAAGAGTGAATTCCTTCACATCAAGAATTGGTTCAGGAGGGGATGTGAAACCGACCTGCACCGTACACAAAATAATCAGTCACAAACCTAATAACCAAAGATGTTGCAACTCAGAAATAAGTTCCAATAATTCTCAAACCTTATAAAATGAAGACAATCTAAATTACAAGCTTTTTAAGCTTGGGGAAGTTTCGGCGGAGGCACTTCACCATTCTAGTCCACTCACCAAGAAGAACACATAATTAGAGATTGCAATTTTAGGGAGAGAAAAAAAGGGAGGGAAGGAAACAATTATTACTTGTGATAAGTGACTCATACCTCATATAAGCGTAGAAACGTAACATTTGACAAAGCTTCCAATGGAAGTAGAGATTGTGGAACTTTAGCAGTGACCAAATGGTTAAGTCCTCTGATGTCAATGGGTGATTTGTCGCCTCCGTAAGAAAATTTTAGCACCAAGTGTTTAAGCAAGGGACATGATGAAAGAAGCATTTCCAAGCTTCCAACATCTTTAAATTGAACATCTTCCAAATGCAATACTTGAAGCAAAGGCAAATTAACACAAGAAAGAGTACCCACCATTACTCCATTCAACCTTAAAACCTTAATACTACTAGCAGTGAAAACACTAGAGGGCAACTCATAATAATCCTCCCGTGAGGAGAAATGAAGCTCGAGATGTTGAACTCTATTACTAATCACAGCATCAATCCACTTGCTCATCTTCCACCATTCAAAATACTCAAGATTTTTATAATATTTACAGTAGAAAACAAAAGTTGTAACAGATTTCAAATCTACCAAACTGAGCAGTTTGTCTACAAATCGAGTGAAGAATGTAAGCCTCTGAAAGTATCTAAAGTCAAGGTAAAGAATGGGAAGGGAAAGCCAAAGTGGTCTCCATCTCTTGGATAAGAAGCTTGTGGCAATTGCTTTTTGAATGGGAAGAAGAGAGAGAATCTGAAGGAGCAATGAATCTGGCAAATCACTGATCCTGTCCCTCATTTCTACTTCTACTCTACGCTTTTCTTTTGTAGATTCCGCTTTCTCCATAATCTTTAACTCAGGCCTTCAGAGATCCTTTTCTATGATCAACTAGCGCAACTGCTTTAAATGAAAAAAGATTGAAACAAAGGTTATGTTTGAAGTTTGAAACTCATCACAACGGGCATTGCAATTTTGAATTTAGAATATTGACGAAGAAAATAGAAGAAGAAGAAAAATATTGACGAAGAAAAAGAAGGGTGAAAGCTGAAAAACAAAGAGGAATGTTGAAAATGCAGGCCTCACTCCTTTTTTATGATCGACGACCTTTTCAAAGGCTTATTTGTCTTATTTCTTCATAAACTTGTTTTTAGATATTGTTAAAGATCTTTAGAATGATAGTAACTTTTTGTTAAGGTAAAAAGTATTAATGATCTTTCTCAATCTGTATATTTTTTATAGTGCCTTGATATTAAAAAATTGAACAAAAGTACAAACTCAGTTTTGTAAGTTTCCTCTAAGTTTAATAAAAAGTGAATAAGGAGATGACTTACAGGGAGTAGGTCCGAGTCAAGTTACCAGTGTAGAAAGAGTAATAATCAGAAAGCTCGACTCAGAAGAGAGAAATCATCAAGGAAGGGGAAGAGCAAGAGAGAGAATCAGAAAGCTCAGCTGATGGAGAAGAGAGAAATGAAAGAGGAGTGATACAAAACGGGCTATTTATGGATCTCAAAATAACCGAACGGAAGATTCTAAAATTTTAAGAATTAAATGTGATTGCTGGTAAAAAAATAAGAATTAAATGTGATTACAATAAATAGAAATAAAATAATAAAGTTTAAAATAAAATAGTTAACAAATATCAACAATAATCCTTAAACATGGACCACATTATCATCTGTTCAATTTGTCATAATCTCATTATTATCTCAATCAATAAGATAATATATTATTTGAATTTAAATATATTTGAATCTTAATCATATGTCTGAGTGTAGATAATGGATAGAATCCTAATCTAATCTAATCTATAAATATGATGCGACTCAGATATATTAAATTAAATCATATGAGTTTGATATCTAGATTAATCAAATAATCCTTTATTTAATTTATATTATATTTAATTACGTAGGTAATCATTTTAAATATTTGGTCCATCAAGGGCATATCCAAAATCTAAAGATGCAGATTTTGTTCATTTTTAATCTTCATCTTGTGGAATTAACTCTTACTGCATCTATTTTAAATATAAGAGGAATTTTGGAAAGTAGTTTAATATTTCTATATATAAGCTATTTTATGGATTTTTAATGATAATTATTTTTTCTTAAAATATCTCCAAAAGTATTTTAAAATTTTCCTTCCGTACTTGGTTTGTTTCCCATATAATTAAAGAAGGATCATGTTAAAAAAATTAAAATATTAAATTGCCATTCCTATTTATAATTCTTTTCACTTAATTTACTTTGACTCAAAATACACGTCTTGTTTAATAATACTTAAAACATAGGTTATCATCTTTTTATAATTAATTAATTGGTGTATTGTGTCTTACTGTATTCTTTAAACATAAAATAATTACACTAGATTACTTCTTAAAATCAACAAGTAGTGGCTTTTAATATCAGCGAGAAGGAATTTCTCTTTACCTCTTTCTATTTTCTGAGATTAACACGAATGGTAGAATGCTCTTTACAATCTGGGCAGAGCCACACAGCAAATTTTGACATTCAAATTAGGGTTAAGGTCCACCAACATAGTTTCTTAGGTGCATATATGCTTCTAAATTTCGTTCATGAGACGAGAAGAGATCGGAACACTAAATTCCAGACGAGTCCCAAACCCACGGGGACTGGACATGAGGCACCAGGATATCCTGTGTGCGTAAATATAAAAACATGGAAAGAACGGAATACCTAATTCAAGGAAAAGGTCGAGTTCAGAAATCAAGATCCTAAATCTATAATCCTTTTTTTTTGTCAGACGTAAATCTATAATCCATAAATTCGTAAAAGAGCAGGAAAATTGGGGCACATAAATTCTTCTTCTCAACTCCAAATACAAGCATCATGAGCAGAAAGATTAAAAGAAAAGATCAAATCTACGAACCTGTTCTTAATGTTGTCAGATCTGGGTGCTTGTATCTATGTGGGAAAAGATTTGTGTTGCCGGGGAAGTTTGAAGGTGACCATCCACTGAGAAAGATTATCGGAAAAATCAGAACCCATCAGGATGCTTACCATTGTGAGATCTTGACTTACAAGATTCAAGAGGCGAGAGACGATGGGGGGGCGGTGGAGTGCGAGCGGCTGAGGGGCAAGGCAAGAGGAGACGGGGATGCGATCGTGAGAACGAGAAGAACTGAGACGTTTACTGCCATATATATACATATGATGGAAGCAGGTTAGGCCTGCCAAGCGCCCGTTTAGCAAAGAAGGCCCAACCTAAAACTTATTTAGAGGCCTTTTAATATAGGCTAGATTGTTTTGGGCCAAACATAGGCTAGACTTTTTAAAATTAAAGCTTGGCGTTAGAGTTTGAAAGTCCAGCCTCATTAGCGTTTCAAATTTTACTTTATTCATATAATGCAGGCTTTGTCTTAATGTATCAAAATCTTATATTTGTGCTCAGACTTTAAATTCTCATTACAGATTTAAGCCTATTTTCACTACACATTTAGGCTTATTTTGGCCAAAGCCTGGGCTGTACATCTAACATCTTTTCGGTTCTTAATGTAACGCATAGTTAACGAGCTTGAGAAGATCTAAAAAGTTACTAAATAGTTTTTTTTTTCCTTTTAGTATTAGATTGTACACAAAATAAATGAAAATTTGATATGTTATGAGAAAAAATGTACTGTCTTGAATTTTTTATTAGTTTTTTAAAAATATATTTAAATTAAAAAAGAAACTACAAAATTCTAAAGTATTTTTTTCTTTAAAAAATCATTAAAAAATGAAAAATACAGTATTTTTTACTCACAGGATATCAACATTTTACTTATTTAACGTAGAATCTAATGTTTAAAAAAAAAATCAGAAAAGAGATTTGGAAAGTATGAGGAAAATTGAGAGGCAGCAAAGAGGACCGCAGAAAAAGAGCCAACTGAATATCGTCATGAATTAGATTTGTTTGCTGGGAGTTCAATTTTTAACATGCATATGGCAAATGTGGAGAGATAAATAAGACTTGCTGGGAAAATGTTGGATGAACATTTGAGAAGTGAGAGCCAACTGAGTATCATTATCTCCGTTTTGAAAATTACTTCCATGCATCAATAATCCCTTGGAGGCTAAATTATTGATGACTTGGGGTTGGTTACGTTGTGGCTGAAAGAGGAGGAAGAGGTAATTGAGGTGTAGAGATTATTAATGGGAGAGATTAATTATCAATAAAATAAGAACGAAGAATTCAACATTAAATTTTAAAATTCCACTTGACTCAATCCCCTCCATGACTGAAAACTCTTATTTACGGAGATTAAAAAGGTTAAATTAATTATTTTAATAATTAATATGTCATAAACTAGTATGCTAAAATTTAATTGATTTTATATATTAAGCCATTCATATCAGCTTAATAAAAATTACTCTCTAACTCATAAGTACTCCCTCCTGTTTCTTTTTTTATAAGAGCATGAAATTTAAATTGCCTTGATCCTTTTTATAGGATCCCACTTGTAGTTGTATGATCATTTAACATGCTTTTATCATTTTTTCCTGTAATTAATTTTATATATGGTGTTATTAAAAAATTTATCACGTTCTTTTTCATACTATATATCTCTTGTCCCTTATTTATGAAAAGAGCATATTTAAAAAAATTCATTTCTAATATATTTGTTATTTTTAATTACTTTTAATTACTTTTTAAATTGCGTAATTTAATTATTATGCTGTTATAAAAAATAGCGGAGGGAGTACAACCTAATTTCATTCAGGGACGTAGAAGAAAGAAGCCAAGCCCTCTAAACAGGCTGTACACTAGTTGAGTGGGTGAAGAGGAAAAAGACTGCGTAATTCAAAGCTTGTTTGAAATGATTTATAACTAGCTTTTCAAATGTGATTTACGAAATACAAGATAAATATATGAGAAGAGTTTTATCTCGATTTACGTGAGAGTACTTATAAACACTTTTGCCATGTTGATCCGAACAAGCCCTCAGTCACTGGCTTAATATAAGAGATTTTTTAAATTTAAAAAAAAAAGGAAGTTCATAGTTTATTTATAATGATTTAATTAAGTATGGTAATGTATCAATTGCTTAACACATCTTGCCTAATAATTAAGTAATAATTAAAACTAAAACACTCATTTAAAATATTTTCATAATTATTTAAATTTACACAAAAGGAATTATTGTATTGGCTAGTAAACTGGATTATAATTTCTAATAACTAGTTAAGTTGAGAATGAAATCAGAAAGCAAACTAGTATATTCGTTTCAGGATCCAAACAAATCAGTGTATTCGTTTTTCAATGCGTTTTGCTCTTCCTGAGTTTGCATTAGATTTTTTTGAAAGTAATTTTATGCTATACTAAGTAAGTATTTGAGAGAAAATAAATTTTGTCTTATAAAACATAGCACTAGTTTCGGTGTGATAAGCATTATGATCCTTATCAAATCCCAATAGGTTAAATTTAATATAGATGGCTAAGATTTAAAATTTTAATTTTTTTAAAATATTTTCTTGTAATAGGTACATAATCCAAATAAATATAATATCTTAACTATAAGTTTTTTTAAAAATAATTTTTTATTTAAAAATCATTAGTTAAAAATTTTAAATATGGAGTATTAAAATTATATTTAAATGGTGTGGGTTTCATAAGAACTTAAGTTGAAAGAAAGGTGGATATATAACCACGAAGTTCAACAGTTGCGGATGAGTTATATAGATGTATACGCACAAAGATACATATAGAAAGATCACACATATATGTGTCTATATATACATGTGGCTAGAAGTATTTTGGAAAATCAGTTATCAATCATAATCTCTCTATTATCTCAATCAATGAGATAATATATGATTTGCATTTAGACGCATTTAAATCTTTATCATATATATAGATATATACAATATTGGTTAATGGATTTTTTTGCCAGATATTGGATAACATATTAAATCCTAATTTAATACATAATTATGATTTGAATTCAAATATGTTAAATTAAATCATATGATTTTGATATCGACAACAACTATTAGTTGAGATATGTTCTCACCCTCTCTTTATAATTTTAATTTAATTGAATAAAGTTGTATCCTAATAAATATTGATACGAGTCTAGGGGTGGAAACAGGCCAGGCTAGGTCAGGCTTTGCTATTAACAGGCCAGGCCTGTTTTGGAGCCTATTGGCCTGTGGCCTGTTACAGGCTTACTTTTCAGCCTGAGCCTGGCCTGTATAAAGGCCTGGCCTGGCCTGAAACCTGTTAAAAGGCTTGTATTTTTAAAAAATTCAAATTATAATAATTAATTTTTTTAAAAAAAGCTAAGATAAAAAAAACGTACATAATAATTTAATTTTTAGTCTTGTCTTTTATTTAAATTTTAATATCATAAGTACTATTTTAAATCTTAATTATAATTTATAAGAATATTATTGAAAACTAATTGTAATTATATGTTAAAATTTGGAATAAGACTACATTTAAGTACACACAAAAAATTTAAATTAAGACAAATAAATAAAGAGGAAAAAAATACTAATTTTATAATGGATAAAGAGGGTATCATACTTAAATTAACATAATACGTAAGTTAGTTAATTTATCATTCTTGGAACAAAATTTTCTTTCCTATTTTCTTTATTTTTTAAGATTTAAAAATCACATTATTTATTGATATTATTATTTTAAATTATATTTTTATCTTCACTTGTCATCTAAACTTCAAAATCTAAGAAAAGATTAAGCTATTAACTATATATTAAAATTAAAAAAATAAATTAAAAGAGTACATTAACAATAATAGCATTAATTAATTTTTTCATATATTATGATTATAAATTCCTGACAGGCCCAGGCCGGCCTAACAGGCTTACAGGCTTTTTAAAAGCCTAAGCCGGCCTGTTTAACTAAACAGGCCTTCAAACAGGCCTGAGCCTGTCTTTTTTAGGAAACAGGTCAGGTCAGGCCAGGCTAAATGCAGGCCAAGTCATAGGCCTCTGACAGGCCACCTGGCCTGTTTCCACCCCTATACGAGTCATGAAGCGCCAAGAAACACCAACTTAAAAAACTTGTATCTCACAAAGTGAGAAGAAACAACGGAAATGCTTTTGCGCAAAACAATTCAATCCAATCAGTCGTTCACGGTTGACTGAGTTATCACAAATCACTGATTAATCATTCGGTTAATATATAGATCCCTTCAAAATGGGATTTGAGTAATATATCACTGATATAAATGGATTCCGAACAGAAATTGGATTAATGTGTCATTTACATGTATAGCACCAGCACAAGACCGTCCATTGGTTAATGGAGAGAGAACTACAATAGAAGATTTTCTTAAATCCTGTCATATCATATATTATCTTGAATTTTCTTGAAATACACCACAATAATACTTTCTCACAAGTGTCATTGATATAAGATCTAGTTTGTAGTTCAAATATTTGTACCACAAACTAGATCTAACATTAAGGATAAGACCTAGCATTGAGAAGTTAAGAAATCATATATACAAGGGGTTTGTGCATTCGACTGCAACTCTTAGAGCCCGATCCAATGTATGCGGCTAATTTTTGGAAATCCGAGAGCTTATTGGGATAAGGCTCTATTATTTTTGCTGTTCTATGCCCCCTTGGATCATCAACTCTCATCATAGTTAGTGTCCTCAAAACCCTAGCATTCTCATTAAAGAAATCTAATATTTCTAACATACATTCAGGACCTTGGAAGTAACGAATAGTGAACTCCTTCAGATGTAATGAAACACATGGAGGCACATCACGTATTGGTTCAAGAGGGGACGGCGTATCAACCTGACCATATTTAAAAAAATGATAAGTCACAAACCCAATCGAAGAATTATTGCTTGCACTCGTAAATAATTAAATTCAAATTTTCAAACCTCATGATAAAATGGTCTTTCTGAAACCACAAGCTTTTCCAATTTGGGGAAGTTTCGGAGACGGTTCACCATCTTTGTCCATTCACCAGCAACACATTCCAGATGGGTTAAATTGTGAAACATTGGCACATCATCAGTAAATGACCACATATCCTGCTCACCAGAAAGCTAAAAAGCAGACTAAAAATTAGGCAATGGAATCTCATGGGGAAATTGAAAGGAAAAAAATTACTTTATCATGTGTGATAAATTTATACCGGAGTCCAATATAAGCGTAGAAATGTGACATTAGACAAAACTTTCAGTGGGAGTAGACATTGTGGAACTTCTGCAGTGACCATGTGGTTGAGTCCTCCAATGTTAAGCGGAAGGTTAAGGTTTCCATACAGATTTTTTAGTACCAAGTCTTTAAGCAAAGGACATGAAGAAAGAAGCATTTCCAAGCTTCGAACATCGGAAAAATTGACATGCTCCAAATGCAAGACTTCAAGCAAAGGCAAATTAACATGAGAAAGAGTGCCCATCTTTACATCTTTCAGCTTCAAAAACCTAATGTTATTGGCAGTGAAAACAATAGAGGGCAACTGATATGCCCATTCCTTCATATCTATTTCTAGATGTTCAACTTCGCTATTAGTCACAACATTATCAATCCACTTGCTAATCTTGCGGGGGCTAAAATGCTCATTATAGTGAAAATGAGCAAATTCGAGAACAAACTTTTTGACAGATTTCAAATCTACCGATTTGAGCACTTGGTCGGCGAATCGATAAAACCATCTGAGGCTCCGGCAGGTTTGTCGATTAAATTGAAGAGTGGGAAGGGAAAGCCAAAGTCCCCTCCACCTCTTGGACAAGAAGCTTGTGGCAACGGCTTCTTTGATTGGAAGAAAAGAGAGAATATGAATAAGCAATTCGTCTGACAAACCACTGATCCTGTCTTCTGTTCTTCTGTGCTTTTTGGTTTTCGACGCGGATTTCCCCATAAACCTTTAGCTAACCTTTGTGCTGCGCTTCTTTGAATTTAGCTAACCTTTGTGCTGCGCTTCTTCTGAATGTTAAACACTTGTGGTTCGTTGGGCAGGAAAAACAAAAAAAGAAGCTTAGGTGGTGGCTTGATGAGTTATAATTCACGGTGCTAGCCTCTATATACACATATATATTTATATATAAGATGATGGGTCGACATATCTTAGGAAGACAATGAGATAATATCCCTATTTTAATCTCTTCATTATGTGAATCAATCAGATAACATATGATTTGTATTTTCAGGCAAAAAAAAAAAATGATATGTATTTAAACAAATTTAAATCTGTATCATATCTGCGAAATCGAAAAATAAATTAAATCATAAGTTGATTCTTAAGTATGATTTGAATCCAACCATATTTAATTAAATCATATGATTGTGATATCTAGATTATCCTTTTGGCAACTGATATCTAGATTATTCAGATACTATAAATTAAATTCCTTATTTAACATATATCATAGTTAATTATTAAGGTAATCATATTAAATATTCCGATTTCCGAGGAATCGTGGGTGGATTTGAAATCTAACCGTCAACATTTTATCTTTTTTTATGTTCATATATTGTGGAATTCACTGATAACTATTATACTGCCTCTATTTTAAATATAAGATGGGATTTTGGAAAGTAGTATTTCAATATATAAGATATTTTAAATATTTTAAAGGATAGTTAATTTCTTTTTCCTAAAATATCCACGAGTATTTTTTAATTTCAATATATAAGATATTTTAAATATTTTTAAGGATAATTAATTTCTTTTTCCTAAAATATCCACGAGTATTTTTCAAAATAATATTTTCGTTTGCCATGTGATTAGAGTCTAGAGGAGGGTGAAGTTAAGAACGAATATTAAAATCTTAGCTACTACTCTCATCTACAAGATATAAGTCATTGCTAATCCAGGCGGTGATGTGTTAGGTTAACATATTTTTATAATTAATTGGTGTATAATTATTTGAGCATAAAATAATTACACTGAATTACTTGCTAAAATCAATATGTAGCATTTAATAAGTAAGAAGGAATTTCTTTAATTAGCTTTTTTATTTTTTTAGCTTAATAAGAACGATAAAAGCTCTTGTACGATTTGGGCAGAGCCATACAGCTAATTGGCATGCTTTCTATGGCAATTATTTTTAACTCAGAAGCTACTTTAATGTTGAAGCAGATTAAAGTTTGGGGGCAAGCCTCATTAAATTTTTATTTAATTATTGTGTATGTCCCCTGCTGATCCAACCAGTTGAACCATGAGAATCGTCAACTGTTTATCTTTTCAACTTGACATTTGGTTTACTTTTAAAATTGGTCTAAATATAAACCTTGATATTTTTTTGGTTTAATTGGAATTTTCTATTATTCTTTCTAATAACTAATTGACCATAAAATCTGGAAGTGAATTATCATATTTCTTGTTTGAAGTGTAGAGAAAGTTTTCAAGAGACTCTTCTATTTATTTTTTTTATTAGGATTAGCAGTGCTAGTCCTAATCTCATTGTAGACATTGTGAAGGACTTTAGCGTTGGCCACGAGACCTTCTACACACACACCATTAGGAATCGAACCCATTAAGAGATGTTTAATGGTGTATCCACGAGCAATACAAAAGCATATATAGTTATATATTACAAATAACATCACAAGTTACTTTAAAAAAATTAGAAACATACAAGTAGATCCCTACGATAAAAAGTTAGAAATATAAAATCGAGTATCAAGAAATCAAATCATAAATAACAAAGTGGTTGTTTCTTCACCAGACTGCACTCTCAGACCTCCGTTTTGCTGCTAACTTTTGGAGCATTCGGAGCTTCCCTTCATCACCATTGTGAAGGTACTTTAGCGTTGGCCACGAGACCTTCTACACACACACCATTAGGAATCGAACCCATTAAGAGATGTTTAATGGTGTATCCACGAGCAATAAGCAAAAGCATATATAGTTATATATTACAAATTAACATCACAAGTTACTTTAAAAAAATTAGAAACATACAAGTAGATCCCTACGATAAAAAGTTAAGAAATATAAAATCGAGTATCAAGAAATCAAATCATAAATACAAGTGGTTGTTCTTTCACCAGACTGCAACTCTCAGAGCCTCTACGTTTTGCTGCTAACTTTTGGAGCATTCGGAGCTTCCCTTCATCACCATTACCAACACCCTTTATGGTGAGAGTCCTCAAAACCCCAGCATTCTCAGTTATATATTTTAACATTTCTGACTTACTGCCAGGACCTCGCAAGTAAAGAAGAGTGAACTCCTTTAGATGTAATGAAACACATGGAGGCACATCAAGTATTGGTTCAGGAGGGAACGAAGAATCAACCTGACCATACAAAAGAATAAGTCACAAACCTAATAGACGCATACATCATTGCTTGCACTAACTACTAATAAAGTTCTGATTTTCAAACCTTATCATAAAATGGCCATTCTGAAATTACAAGCTTTTCAAGCTTGGGGAAGTTTCGGAAACAATTCACCATCCTAGTCCATTCACCAGCAACACATTCCAGATGGGTTAAATTGTGAAATGTTGGCATATCATCACTAAATGACCACAGATCCTGCATTTCAAAACGCTAAAAAAACAGACTAAAAGTTAGGGAATGGAATCTCAAGGGGAAATTAAAAGAGAAAAATTACTCATCATGTGTGATATATATTCGTACCGGGGTCCAACATAAGCGCAGAAATGAGACATTAGACAAAACTTTCAATGGAAGTAGACATTGTGGAACTTCTGCAGTGACCAAGTGGTTAAGTCTTCCAATGTTAAGTGGACGGTTAAGGTTTCCATATAGAATTTTTAGTACCAAGTCTTTAAGCAAAGGAGATGAAGAAAGAAGCATTTCCAAGCTTCTGTAATCTGGAAAATCAATTTGATCCAGATCTAATATTTCAAGTGAAGGCAAATTAACACGAGAAAGAGTCCCCACCTTTACTTCAGTCAACTTCAATACCCGAATGTTATTGGCAAGGAGAACACTAGAGGGCAACTTATATCCATCTAGGCGTCTCAGATGTAGCTCCAGATGAAGAAGTTCACCTTTGCTACTGATCACAGATCACAGCATTACCACTTGTTAATCTTGTGAGGTTTAAAATGCTCACCAACCATAAAATGTTTACACTGGAAAACAAACTTTTCGACAGATTTCAGATCTACCCGTTTGAGCACTTTGCTCACAAATCGATAGAAGAATGGAAGCGTACCAAAGTATACACGGTTAAGGTCAAGAGTGGGAAGGGAAAGCCAAAGTCGTTTCCATTTCTTGGATAAGAGGCTTGTGGCAACTGCTTCTTTAACTGGAAGAAAAGAGAGAATACGAAGAAGGACTGAGTTTGGCAAACCACTGATCCTGTCTACTTCTTCTCTGCGATTTCTTTTTCTGGATACTGATTTCTCCATAAGAACTAAAGGTTGAAAGAAAAGTGGATAACCACGGTCGAAGTTTAACAGTTACGGATGAGTTTTATATGTACACACACATAAATATAGAAATTAAAGTTAAATGGGTAGAAATATTTTATTATACCGCAATATCCGTCAATGATCAATCATTATCTCTCTATTATCTCAATCAATGAGATCATACATGATTTGAATTCAAACATATTAAATTAAATCTTATGATTTCGATATTTAGATTATTCAGGTAATATTAATTAAAATTTTCGTTTAATTTTTCTTATATTTAATTGGATATATAACCATATTAAATATTCCAAATCTAACCGTTAACATTTTATTTTATTTTTGTGTTCACATTATCTATTACTGCCTCTACTTTAAATATAAGAGGAATTTTGAAAACTTTAATATTTCAATGAGGTATTTTACGGATTTTTAAGGACAATTAATATCTTTTTCCTTAAAATATTCATAAAAGTATTTTGAATGTTGAAAAAGTTATCTATTTAATACATTTATTGATTTGTAGGCTTGGAATATAAGTAACTTATAAATAGAAACAAAGTGGTATTATGTTCTCAAATAGGTCATAAATTCATGATTCTTTTAAAATTTATCCTTATTAATCTTTTTTTATTTTTACACTTGCAAATTATTCACATATTTTTCTATTTCATCTCTCTTTTTTAAACACACATTAATGGGGTATTTAGATTAGCTTTTCAGAAATGATTTTGCAAACTCTAAAATAAGTATGTGAGATAAGTTTTATCTTGACTTATGTAAAAATACCTTTTCAAATGATTTTTGAGATTTCCAAAGACCCCATAATTAAAGAGGTAAAATTTACAAAAGTTATTAATACTCTCCCCGTCCCTTTTTATAAGTAATACTAGAGTCTAGACTAAATCATGTATATAAAAAAGTTAGTTAAAATTAGTTAAAGACAATAAATATATAAAAATTTTAAAAAAATTCTCCAAAATTTTCTTATTTATGAGAGAGAGTATAAGAAAGAGAATAAAAAAATTATTATAATAAAAAAATTATGACAGAAAAAGAATGAATGATGAAAATTAATAAAGAAAGAGAATCTATTATCTAAGAAATGATGTTTTAGAAAATAAAAAAATAAATATATTAACTATTAAAGTAAGTCTTTAATAGAGCAAAATAGAAATTTGCTACAAATATTTAATAGTACTTATAAATATTATTTGTATTTAAGAACAAGAGAAGATAATAGTTGTTGCTTTTAAAAAAAAAGGAAAGGAAAGGATTAATATTTGGCGCTAATTTTTTTTCACAAATGACTTGTAATACAGACCGAAAAATAGAGAAGAGCACACCCTATTTTCTGTGCATAGAAATAGCATGGACGGGAAGTAAAGAAAGCGAGTACAACGCATCTGTGGAGAAATAGCATGGACAATTAAGAAAGCGAGTACAACGCATTTGGAGGCCCAATTAATGCGATAAACGACAAAAAATATTCTTAATTTGTTTGCTGCTCTTGCATTATTGTTGAATTTGCTGTCATCATCATTCAATCACCGTGGATGTATCCGTTGAACCCAACAACAAGTTGTGTCACTATTGATCAGATTTCCATTTCAAAAGAGAAGCAGAATGATTTATTACTGCAAGTGATGGAAACACACAGGAGCAAGACATGCGTAAATAAAAAGACGGCAGAAAATAATCAGGTGGTGAAGGAATCGAGGGCCATGATGGTGCTGAGATTCATGGGATGCATGTACTGGGTGGAGCCTGCCAGAATCTGCTGCACTATAATTCTGTTGGCTTTCTCCGATGGATGGAACGAGTCCCAAAAGGCGTACAGGTCCCTGTTTGGGCACAGGTTTGAAAGCGGCGTGCACAGTCCCACCCCATTGTATGGCCCTTGTCCACAGCATGCTACCTTTGACGTTACGAATCCTGCAGGCAAAGATGCCTACATATTTAGTATTTTAGTGTGTCTCGAATAGGATTGTCAAGAGGATGCGTGTACGTACCATAAGCTTGAGGATCGGTAATGAAGTCCATGTGCATTCTATAAGCATTTGCCGCGACGAAGACGTCGGCACCGACCTCCTGGTTAAGGCCTGAGATCATGTTAACAAGCTGGGGATTAAATAACGATGCTGCTCTCTGGAGTTCCTCGTCGCAATCCCCATTTCTGCTCCTCGTGGCTAATTCTGCAGGAACACATCCCATCGGTCCCGTTCCCGTCACGATCACCCTCCTTCCTCCCAAATCATATAGTCTCTGCCTTGACCAAGTTGCATGCGCAACACAATTCAATTACAGAAGTACAAAAACAACAACTAGTTTTTAAATATCCATTAATTGTGTTTTTGTGTACCATAGAGCGATTAAATGAATGGGTCTCAAACATGTGATCACATTGCATGGACACCACCTTCTAAGTCATGCAAAGGGCATATACATATATATATATATATATATATATATATATATGATCACACACATGGAGACTAATGACATCAGTGGTTAACCATTTGTTTGGCAATTATGTATGCGACAGGAATCTTATACCAAGTAACCAAATAATAAGGGAAAGAATAATACCCACCCTGAGAATTTTGCGGTACTCAGAAATGAGATAGCGAACGTAATCAGGGAGAGAGAACTGGCGAGATCTTGCAGAGTAGGGAACTAAGTAGTAATTGTTGACGAAATCGTTGCCGCCGAGAGTGATGAGCACGAGTGCTCCGTTTACTAGTCTACGGGCTCCTTCTGCGCCAATATGCGCGCCCAGCCTTTCCTGGTAATGTTCAAAAAGCTTCAGTTGCTTGTAGATGTGGATGATGTGCACCTGCCACAAAGACACACACATATATGTTAACCTCACGTCTCTAGAAAGCACATATTTTGGACAATGGACGCAGAATTAATCACTCACAAACTGAAAGCCAGTGTCATTGAGAATCCCAATGCCAGCCGACGCAAAATTCGCACCAACCAGCAGCTTCTCTCCCGTTAGTTGTGGGTTCAAATAGGGGAGAGTAGGCTCTAACCCAAGCTGCTCACCTGCACGATCAACTCGTACATTTTATGCATGCATATGTCAAAACTAAGCATGAACTGAAATTGTTTGTTGTGAAAATATACTAGAATTAATTAAATCTGGCATATTTTCCGCATTTATATGAGGGGATAGAGAGGAGTCATGATATATACTGATTAGGTCGGGGATGTTGAGGCCATTGGAGAAACGTCCTGTGGGTCTGCGAGTTGGGTAGTCAATGCCGTAAGGGGGTGCGTCTGCGCGGGCAGTGGTGGCCAGGTAGTCATTGTTGCCGCTATCCACCAGTGAGTCCCCAAATACAAAGAAAGCCCGCTTTGGCTGTGCACAAACTGATGAACTAGCTGCCACCACCAAGCATGCTATTGCACAATAATAATAACCAAACACCCAACAGCTAGTCATTTGACCTTTTTTTCTATAACAATATAATGGATAGCTCACACTACTAATATTTACTCCTACTTTGCAATCTATTGGCAATGAACGAACGGGTGTGTGGCTTTTTATATATATAGTCTGGGAAGAAGCAACTACGTACCTTTGAATCATAAATGTCTTGCTCTACCACCACTCCAGCTTTAAAGCAGCCGCCGAATCAAGGTGAGAAGCAAGTATCCTCAAAGTAATTGCTCTGCCCAATTCCACATGGTTTCTTTTTCCTCACTCGTTAAATGTTTCATTCTTCGTATCAAAATGTAGGCTACCTTAAGCCCACTCTCACTTATTACTAGCCGTCCTTACAGCCCAGTAATAACACATGGTGTCCATATAGAGTCTTCGCCGCTCGAGAGTCTTAATTATCACAAGCAAATTTATATGGAGAGTACTGTATTTATTTTAAAATTTCCCAACACCTTGCATCTCTATATTTTGCATGCTGCCAAGGGGAGTCCGAAGCACTTGGTATACTTCACTCTTGTGTGTGAGAGTAGGTGAGAAGTTAATATTAGGGATAAGCCCCAAAAGTAGGTGACTTGAAGAGGGTAAATATCAAACTTCAAAACTATGTTCCGGCGAAATTGCTCTTCCAGCTTTGTTGTTTAATTTCAAGCCGATCAACCAGTTCTAAAAGTAGATAATTGCTACGGTGTGGATTTGAGAATGACACCATTGTACCACGCGTATACACCAATCTTCACCCGACTTCAAAAGTCTCGGGATGCTCTTAGTATATACTCCCTCTGCTACATAATGTAAGAAGTTGGCTAACTTTTTTCACATACATACTAGGAAATAAAAGTTTAGTTATTACATATGTCTTAAAATGATGAGTTTTTTTTTAATTTTATCCCTAAAAATGATAAAGTTGTCTTTAATGTTACGTTTTTAGTATCTCCTATCTCTCTCCTTTCTCTACTATATTTAATAGGGGCGAAAATGAAAAAATCACATTAACTACCATCACAATTTTCTCCTAACCAACGCCTTATATTATGGACTGAAGGGAGTATACCTACATCATGCATGCAACATTATAATATTTTGTCTTCTAATCCTAGTTTATTTTGTCTTCACTCAATTCTATGACCTCCTTTGGTATCAAGGATTAAGAATGGGAGGTACGGATTCAAAGACACCACCTCCCACTATGGTATTTATCTATTCCACCTACGTAGGTTTGTCCAATTCCAAGTGACAAACAATCCCTTATACTATACACTCTTTTAATAATAGAGGGAAATACGTGGTAGGTGATTGAGGTAAAAGGGGAATGAGTTAGGGGATCAAAAAAGACTCATTAATTACCCCATAAGTGACTCATATCTAGAAACAAACTTTTTTTTTTTAACAAGTGACCTATAAATAGAAAGAAAGTGGTATAATAGATGGGAAGATTGAAAACTTGAGGAATCTTGTTTTGGTGCTCATTATAGTGATCAGTATCATGATACTCATCAAATATGAACTGTTCAAATTAAATATGGATGACAGAGATTTAATTTTTTTTAATTTTTTTTAAGAACTTCTTTTAATAGATACATGATCCAAAAATATAACTAAGTTTTTAAAAAAATAATTTTTAAAACATGATGGATCCAATTATTTGGGAAAAGGGACTGTTGCATGGTCATAAATACAGAGGGACAGACCAAGTGGCTCGAGATTTCGCAAGGCATGTGAGCAGAGTAAATGAGGTGGATGAATTTGAACGGCTACTAGTACTAGCTACTAGAGTACCACACTACTAGCCGGATATAATTCAATAATCTCTTTGCCGCAAATGATCATTAATTCACCTTTAACAGACTCCAATTAAAAGGGAGCTGCAAGAAAACTAAGGGCCCTTCCGGTCAACAGAAAGTGAACCAAACGAATGGAAAGGGAAAGGAAAGAAGTGGCGTTTGGTACGTAAAGATAGTTCGACGGGACAACTTGGATTTGGATGGATATAATGAGATGACAGAAAAGAAGAGTGGCTTAAATTGTCCTATCAATTTAAATCATGCCACATTAGCCCTCAGTGATCAATCATAATCTCTCTATTATCTCAAACCCAAAGGTCAATCTTATCATGGGACACATCAAAATACTCACACTTTAACCCCAAAATTTTTTTTTGAAATACTTCAGATCAAGTTCGGTCATTTGTTCCTTAGCCTCCTCTTTGTTTTTGGAACAAAGGTAGAAGTGAACGTTTCAGTTGAAGCTCTCGCTCTGTAGAATAGCAATTCTACATACAGGTTCAATGATGGGTTATGACTCTTCGTCACGTCAATAAAATGCTTGCGCGCACAAATATTTTTCAAGTGATGTGCCATCATCTTCATGTGGCACCATTTCAGAAACAAGATGGAGCTGAAGGGATTCACATGTGCACAAGATTATACTATTTGTGATGATTCATCCAACACTGAATCTTGGGAATTAAACAAGTCTACGGGCCTTCAAATACTTCCAAATGAAATGGATATAATAGTGTGAACATTAAGGGGAAAAAAGTCCAGCATTAAAGGAACCAAATACAAGAAGTTTGCAGGGTCGTTACATATAATATCTGATGCACCAAATGATCTTAAACTTTCAGAAGTATGTAACGAAGTTCACGACCCTTCTCCAAACTTCTAATTTCAATAACTCAAGTTGGAGGAACTGATGGCTTCCTAATTTTCAAGAATTTTCTCATCGCCTCCTCAGTATTTTCCCCAAATATATCATAAATAAGTCTACAATTTGAAGAGCATCTGGTGTATGACGATAACTCTTTGAGCATTTCAAAGTCTTTCCTTTCACATGTGCCAGCGCTCCCAACAATGACAGTCCTCAACACTGTTGCATTCTCCATTATAAATTTTACAATTTCAAATTCAAGTTTGGAGCCTTTGAAGCCAAAAATAGCACACTCCTTCAGGTGAGATGAAACACATGGAGGAACATTAGGTGTTGAAAATTCCATCAAACATTCGTCATCTGAATCATAATCACCATCATCTGAATCATAATCACCATACTGACCACACAAATGCATACAGGTCTTAGAAACTGAATAAAGAGAATGCATTCTGCATATAAATCAAACCATTGTTTTTGTCCCAAACCTTATGAATTATAAAACTTTGAAGCTTGGGGAAGCCTTGGAGCAAGCTCACTATGCTCCAACTGATATAAGAGAATTCCTCAATTTGTAGCTGGATTAAATTCTGAAATGTTGGAATATCAGAAGGATATCCTATATCTTCCTGCACAAGGAATGAGCAAGCCAATTTAAAAACAAACGGTATATGAACTCTAAGAACAACAAAAAGTATAAACATGCTCATCGCAGGGCCTTCATACCTGACATAAGCTAAGAAATTGAACATTAGAAAAAGCTTCTATTGGGAATCCAAATAGTGGAATATCTGCGAGTAACAAATGATTAAACCTCGCAATGTCGTGCCCTGAATGCTCATAAGGTATTAACAAAAGATTTAGCACCAATTCTTCAAGACGAAAACAATTAGAAAGAAGCCTTCCCACACATTCAAAATTTGAAAATCGAACCTCCTTCAAATGCAAGACTTTAAGTGAAGGCAGATTAACTGTAGAAATATTACTCAAACTCAACCTAGTCAACTTTAAGACACTAATGGTATTGCAGATGAAAATGCTAGAGGGCAACCTAATAAAATCTCTTGGAAAATATAGCTCTAGATGCCTTAATTTGTAACTGACCAATGCGTTAACCCAAATGTTAACCTTAACAGTGGGCACAGGGAAACGCTTACACTTGAGAACAAACATTTGAACAGAATTCAAATGAACTAAGAGGAGAGCTGCATCTACAAATTGAAGGAAGAATTCAAGACTATGAAAATTAGTGTCGTCAAATTCAAGTTTGGGAATGGAGCGCCAGAGTGGTCTCCACCTCTTGGACAAGAGGCTCGTAGCAACAGCATCTCTGGTGTGAAGAAAAGAGAGAATATGAAGAAGCAATGAGTCTGGCAAACTACTGATCCTCTCTCTCATTTCTACTTTTGTTCTGTTCCTTTTGTTTGTGGACATACCAACGATGAACAAGAAGGGGTATGAGCAAAACGAATGACTGCTATAGATGGCTGAAGATGTGTTTATAGAAGTTCAAAAATGAAGCCTCATGTTTTCCTAATCTCCACTAATCGACTCTGTCCATTTCCCTTGACTTAGGCTAGAAGACGCCCTTCTCTATTTCTCAGCAATCAGCTTCTTGTATTGCCCTGCATTAACGCCATTTTGCTGCAAAACAGAGGTGTGATGTTATAAGATCAAACAAATCGTCCCCATCATTCCTGTTCGTGCTCAATTAAGTCTTCACCTGGAAGAATATTTCACAGCCTGGGACCAAATATCATGCAATTGATACTAAATTGACAAAAATGGAAAAGCTGAAAGGTAGAGAAGATCAGATCAAAAGTGCCCACAAGACCACAAATTAAAAGAAGCGAAAATGTCAGATAGATTATTCATAATAAACGTGACCCCTTTAACCAAACTAAAGACTCTACCTTATCGGAGAAACCTGGAAGGTTATCATGGTGGCGATGAGTTTCAAAATATTTCTTCAAAACCCTAATGTCAAGCTAAATTTAAACTGTTCTCAAGCATTTTGCAGAAAATGAGACAAAAAATGCAAATCGTTTGAACCAGTAAAGGGTGAACTTAATTTGTGAAGAAAAGGAGACATTTAAAGCATTTTAAAGAAAAAAAAATCAGTGGGTATATGGAAGAGTGGAACCTTACCTCTCTTCTGCAGACGGCGATGGGCATCTGAGCGACGGTGGGCAGCAGCGAAAAGGACGACGGGGGGCGACGGTGACGAAGACTTAAACAGTTAAACGAGCACGATCGGCAACGGGGGAATGACGAGCCGATGAGGAGGACAATTTTTTCGAGTTTTGCAGCAAAAGAATACAACTATAATCCACGAGAAGCGAGAAGCAGAAAACGGCGTCGTGATGTGAAGATCACTATCGATCAGATCCGTGATCTAATTGTTGATGACTGGGATGTGAAGATTTGCCATACCCATAGGACTACTCTTCAATATGTTGATTATCTCGCTAGCGAAGATCAAAGAGACAGTTAGGATGCCATTTTGGTCACTGAAGTTTCTGCGGATGCATGGGGCGTTTCCTGGTGGATAGAGCCAATTGTGCCTAGTCTTTCCTGGGCCAGTCTGTTCACTGTTGTTTCCAAGCTTCGGCTTGCCCTTTGTCTACAAAAAAAAACAAAACAAAACGGCGTCGTTGCTGGCATATTGACGAACTGTAGTCTTGTTTATCGATGTTCTATTATTTTTGGGCTATGTTCATTAATGTTCTGATATGTACGCCTAGAGTAGAGGGAAAAAGTAAAAATTTTATTACAAATTACTACGTCCTTAATATAAAAATTAATTTAACTTGTAATTTGATCCTAAATAACATACCATTATCTATTATGTTTTTCATATTTATTCATTTTTTTCAAAATAGTCTTTATAGTAGTTATATATATTAAAGATTTCATCAAATAATAGTTCTAACTAATACATATGATTAATAAGGATATTCTAGAAAAAACAAAACCTATTTATTGCAAATAACTAACTTATTAAATTTTCTTAATCTATTTAAATCAGTTAACTAATTTTTATAACAAGGACCAGAGATAGTATCACGAAACTTACAAAATGGCTGCTTTGAAATTACAAACTTTTCAAGGTTGGGGAAGTTTCAGAAATACTACTCTGTTCCTTATTATAATATCTGATTTTTGAATGGGTTTGTCCTTTTTTATAAGATCCTTTTTTAGTTTGTCTGAGCATTTAATATATTATTACCTATTTTATCCCTAATTTTATATATTCTCTTTCTTTATTTATCTCACTATTACTCTCTCACATTTACCCATTTATATATAGGGGTATATTTGAAAAAAAATTGGATTTGTTACATATTAATTGCTTTTAATTAATTTTAACTGTTTTTTTAAACCGCACAATTTAATTAAAAGAATCTTATAACAAGGGACGAAGAGAGTAGTTTATAATCCTAGTACATTCACCCAGCAACACAATCCAGATTGGTTATATTTTGAAACACTTGACTATCATCACTATATGACCACAAATCCTGCATGTCAAAACGCTAAAACCACAATGAAAATTAGGGATTGAAATCTCATGAGTGAAAATAAAAAGAGAACAATTACTTAATACTCCTACAGTCCTAAATATAAGACCAATTTTAGAGTATAATTTACATTATAAAATAAATCTTATATTTAAGACTGAAGGAGTATATTATTGGTACAGGGTTCCAAAATAAGCATAGAAATGTAACATTAGACAAAACTTTAAATGGAAGTAGTGGAACTTCTACACTAACTAGACGGTTAGGTCCTTCAATGTCAAGTACGGGCTTGTTTGGATTAATATTGCAAAAGTACTTATATAAGTACTTTCACATACTTATCTTGTATTTCGTAAATTACATTTCAAAAGCTACTTATAAATCATTCCAAACAAGCTCGTAGTCAAATTTCTCACACAAAGTTTTTAGTACCAAGTCTTTAAGTGAAGGACATCCAGGAAGAAGCATTTCGAAGCTTGTATCATCTGAAAAATCAATGTGATCCCAATGTAATGCTTGAAGTGAAGACAAATTAAAATGAGAAAGAGTACCCACCGTTATTTCCATGAACTTCAAAACCCTATAGAGGGCAACTTATATGCATGTAGCCGACTCAGATTTAGCTCCAGATGAATGAAGATGATGTTTAACTTCGCTACTAATCACAGCACTAATCCACTTGCTAATCTTACAGCGTCTGATATGCTCGCCAAACATAACACATTTACACTTAAACTTTTTGGCATATTTCAAATCTACCAATTTGAGCACTTTGTTCACAAATTGATAGAAGAATGGAAGTCTCTCAAGGTATCGTCGGTTAAGAGTGGGAAGAAAAAGGCCAAAGTGGTTTCCATCTCTTGGATAAGAGGCTTGTGGCGATTGCTTCATTAGCGGGAAGAAAAGAGAGAATATGAAGAAGCACTGAGTTTGGCAAAATGCCAACCAAAACGCTCAAGCGTAATGCATAGCTTTATACTACTTCTGTTTTTTAATATAAGAACTAGTTGATTAATTTGAGTAAATTAAAAAAATTAATTAAGTTAGTTATTTGTAATAAATAGATGTTATATTTCCTAAAATACACTTTCATAATAAGTAGATATTATCTTTTATAAAATATACTTTTGTAATAAATAGATGTTATCTTTCCTAAAATACACTTACTAATGATGTGTATTTATTAGAACTACCAACATTTAACATGTACAACTACTACAAGGACTATTTCGAAAGAAATGTGTAAATATAAAAAGACAAAGAGGGTTGAGGTGTAACATCACCACTTACTAACCAGAACTAACCATGATAGAAAAGATTAAAACTAGTAAACATTCCCTATCATGGTTATTTAAGAGCAACCACATTATTAAAGGGCTAACCATGATAGAAAAACATTCGACCTTAATTAAGACTATCATGGTTAGAAAAAGAATAACCTATATTTGTAATCATGGCAAACATGGTTATAAAACAATACGCCTTTGAATGATAAATTATAATAGCAGTTTAGACTTGACTATCTTAGTCAACACTAGCAACAACTAAACTTGCCAAAATTGCCATTATCGCATCGTGGATCCACAGTAATTCAATCACATGCAATCTAAGGGCCTCAGGCCCACTACCAGCACCCTAGTCCAATGTCCAAACAAAATAAACCAAAGATAGAAAGTATAATACGTCCACTAAGTCAAACGACATGAAAATATAAGGAGGTAAAATAAGTTACAAATGAATGCAGTCCTGATGCGTGGCAATATACGAAAAGATTACATAAAACAAGGTCCAGAAGCTCTACACTGTCAGCTACAGCTATTGAGCCTCAAGAGTCTTCCCTGAAGGTCCCGCTAACGTATTGTTTCCTGAAAATGGTAAAGCAACAGGAGTGAAACAACGTCTCAGTAACTAAATCCCTACCTATCCCACACTCTAGCATGGGCTGGCGGGGTGTCAGGTGGGATACACAGAGTTAATAATAGTTGATAAACATTTATTTAACATTTAAACTCACAATAATCATACAAGACAAATATTTCCACCAGTCTCATGCAATGGATACATTTCAAAAGAGATAACATACTTGTCATTTATTTAAAAGATATAAATATCAATGAATATCTCATGTCATATGCAATTCCTGAACCCAACTCCAACCTTATATCCTCCTTATTTCTGCCGACTGGACCCATGGGCTAAGTTCTTTCCATTTGACTAGCAACTCTGACAAGCTCACCACACGAATGATGTGGACCGGCCAAAGACCACAGAGCACTCGGTTGACCATGGATCCCCCCTTGAAGAACTTGTGGGGTGTCGCAGTCCCCCGAAGAACTAGTGGGACAATAATAATAGCCAACCATAGAGCTCCGTATGGAGGCTAATACCATGTGGCAAGTATATGAATCTCAACAACTCCAATTATCTCCTTTCCCCACCCAAAATAGATGCACCGGGTTCAAAATGACACATTTATATGCATAATCAACAAAATTTCATAATAACACATCATAATCATGATCACCAATTTTTTGCAATACAAACTATGTCAATCCTTTTTAAAATAGCATCCCACAAGACAGTTCATACAAAACGTAATATGCTTTTATAGAATTAGTTGTAAAGCCGCTCACCAACTTCATACTAGAACATGCAACAGATAGAAATTTAGTTACCTAGTCTTCTAGCTATCAGTCAACTACAACCAGAGTCCAACCTCGAAAATGCCACAATAGAGTTTATATCTAATAACTTGTAACTCGGAGATCAAAAGGGTGATCCAACCGTTGAAATTAATGATTTGGATGTCCCAAATGGACTGACCAAATTTCAATCCGATCCAACGGTTAATAAAATCAAAACTAGCACTTTTCTGAGACTACCTCAGTTATGTGCGAAAATTATTTACTTACTCCAAGCTCCACTCACTAGCTCCTATATATAGGCTCCTCAAACTCCTTCACTCTAAAAATTAGTCAATGTGGGACTTCTATACCATGGTTTAATTTTCTAGAATATCATCCACACATACACACAATCACATACAAAAACATTATTAAAATAATAATAATAATTTGCCTATATCTAACTTCTCTTTTTTTTTTAAACTTAATATTAAAATATATTTATCTATAAATTTAATTAAATACTAGATAAAAATAAGGATGTTACATGAGGTCTCATATTTAGAACCAAATTAATATAAAACTTATTCTTATATTAAGAATTGCAGGTAGTGTGTGTGTGTATATATATATATATAGAAATGGCAGGCTAGAAATATTTTGAGAAGCCAAAATATCTATAGTTTATGAATTTAAGATATATATACATACATATATATATATATATATATCACATTATCGTCAATTGATTTATCATACTGTATCCGGTATCTCAATCAATGGGATAATATATGGTTTGAATTCAAACATATTAAATTAAATATGATTTTGATACATTATTTGGATAAAAAAATTAAAAGAGAATCTTAATTAAATCCAATAAAAATATCAAAATATATCCAATTAAGACCTGCACTTTTTCCTATAATGAGGTCAGGAGTCTTTATTCGGGGATTTTTTTAAAATATTATTAAAAGGATACAATGCCTTTTAAGTCAACAAATTGCACTACAAAAAAAACAGGAGCTTAGTTATGAAATTTAGCAACCGCCTCACAAATTCCATTACTAAAATTAGTAATAAAATTTAATGATGAAAAATTTCTATGACTAAATTAGTGACAGATTAATAACAGAATTTTATTTCGTCACTAGATTTGTGATGAAGTTTTATTACATCACTAAATTAGTGACTAATTAGTGATAAAATTTTATTCCTTCACTAAATTTTGTCACAAATCCTGGCTAATTCTGTTGTAAAGAATTAATAATAAAAATTAATGACGGAAAAATTCTGTCACTAACTCCCTCATAAAACATTTTGTGATGAAAATTTTTGATCACTAATTTATGTCACAGTTCCATCACTAATCCATAACAAAAAATATAACATAAATATATAA